TGTGCACATGTTATTTTTCAATAAGCCACTTGTAAGTCACCACAGTAAACTTACAAGTTATTATTGAAATTATTTTTCCCTAGTCTTATTTTAAACAAATAACGTCAATATTTACCATAATAAAGTTAAATTTCTCCGTCATATTTTTACGAATAATAATAAAAAAAAGGTTAACCAAATGTCTAACAGAATGGTTGTACATAACTTAAATGTATCACTTTACCTAAAATTATTTCTTTAGCCTGACTCCATCTGTTAAAAAATGGTATATAACAACCGTTAGTAGTGGAAAATGCAATTTTTATATTTTATTATTGTCATAAAACTAATAGCAAGAGAATACTAATAAGAGTTTTGCGAAAGCGACATTTTTTTTAACGACGGTCACTTTAATTTTGACGGTATCGCAGCCAATTTTTATTGGTCGTTATAATATTGTTAACATAAATAATTTTTTTTCAATTACATAGCAAAATAAATAATCATTAACCAGGAAACGTCTATTAGATTTTTTTTAGTATATAACATATTCTAAATGATCCTCCAATGGGTCTTTTAACGTAAGATTTAACAAAAGCAATAATTTATTTTGGGTAAAAAACAAAGTTACATAAGAATCTGAACTCTTAACAAGTGAATTTAGTTAAATGCTCCAAAAAGTTATCATAATAAATGGAACTAAGGAAAACACAAATTAGTTATGAGAGCAGTTTGTTGATATCTGCAATTGACACACTGTGGGATATTATTCAGTGAAACATCANGCAGTTTGTTGATATCTGCAATTGACACACTGTGGGATATTATTCAGTGAATTAGTATTTTAATAAATCCAAGAATACATTTTAAAATCTCTTCTTGGTCTAAATAAAAAAATTACATTTTACATTATATTTTTCTTATATTAATCAAACGCTTACAAGAAAAATGATCTCACGGTATGTAATATTTTTACTTTGAATATTCCTTATATCATATCAAAAGTAATGATCTAAATAACTCTTCATTTCATCTAAACAATTTGAAAACCAACGTTATCGTTTGTTTGTAATAACATTTACAGTTTAAACTTTAATAATTAAAAAAAAAGCTTTTGTGTTTCATTGGAAACAATTTCTAAGAAAAATAGAGCGTTGGATTTCCTTTAAATCAGGGTTTAAAAGTATTTGTTACTCTCCAGAGTGTCCGTGTACATTTTGTGACAACTAATAAGAAAAGAGATCAGTAATAGATATGATCCCACCAAAAGATTAATAAAAGATTGAAACGTTGATTCGCTATAGAAAACAACATAATAATATCTTCAACTAGTACTACACCTGAACATGAAAATTATAATAATATTTCTACCTAAACCAGTATATGCTAATAATAAATGTTCTAAATAAACCATTAATCATACTTTATGATGTATAAAATTAAATTGTATAATAAAGTTGTATTGCTGCTTTAGTAAAAAAAAAAAAACAATTTATTTTTAACGTAATGCGACAAAAAAAAAAAGTTCTGTTTCTAATAGTTTTGCAATGATATTCGCAATATATTTTGCGTACTATTTTTCAGTTCGATTAAATCAGATAGCTTTGTTTAATTAATACATTAAGTGCCAAAGTTTATGTTTATTCATATTAATTATTAATTAATTATTTTAATATTTGTTTTTCATGATCTCATAATGAAAAAGAAACAAAATATTTTTAACTAGAATCAAATAACTTATTAATAACGTATAAATTAAACATAAACTATCGACAGTGAAGTTTTATCAATGGATTTTATGGATAAATAAATGAACTGTTCAAATGTGTATAGACATTTTTATCATACAAATAAATATTGATGGCCATATAATTTTTATGTATATTAATGAAACGTTTTAGTAAATTGGCTACAATGAAACAGTTCTATTTTACGGTAATCGCATAAAACTATATGAACCTCTTTAAGAATTCAACATACTTAACGTTATGAGTTTAATTTGATATTTCTCAAAACGATAAATTCTAGTTATTTCAACCTTCAATAAATCTAGTTTAAGTTTATTGCACTAAATGTTGCAGTGTTCATATTATTCGCTCTATATAAGATACCTAACGATTAAGTTTCTTATACACTATACATGATATTCGATTCAGGTACAGTAAAGTTTTTTTAAATAGTTAGAAATTTAATTACCAATGAATCAATACACTTTGATAAAACATAAATTTTGCAATATATTATATTCACCTAAATAATAACACAAACATTATTAATAACTCTATATTGTGACTTGAGAAACGTACAATTTATTTCACATTTTCCATTTCATATTGTACTACTATTGTTACAACTTAATACATACAATTAAAGAAATATACAATATAATAATCATATTTAATAGTTTTCAATTCAATGAAAACTTTTATTGTTAAAAATATGATTTTAAGATTTATTTTCTTTACTCATTTTTGCGAATTAAAGACATTTAATATAAAAATAACAATAAGTATTGTATCTACTTGTACAATAAAAAGCAATACGATCTTTAAGGGATGATTATCACAATGTTATTAGTTGTGGTACGGAGCTGAGAGAATACTAGACTTTAGACGAACTTTTGCCCCTAAAACACATTTATATCTATATCGAAAAAACCTAAAAAAATTGGACACCGATATAATGGTTTACCTCGGATTCACAACTAAAACTAATAGTTATTTTTAATCAGAGGCTAAAGACTACATAAAATTCAATCGTGAGGTTTCACTATATTTTAATGTACCATTAAAAGGGTTTATTTATAAGAGTAGTTATTTATGTATTGTTTAACCCGTAGAGCTAATTTCAAATTCTCAGAAATACAGTACAAAATTATAGATTGACTGTGGGTAAAGGTAAATAATGTTTTTATGTGTTTAACTTAAGTGAACTTTTAAAAATGTCATAAGCATACTTATGTGTGTGCAGTGTACAGAGACAGTGGTAGTTTTGTTTGTTAAGAATGAGTCTAAAAAAGTTCAAGCAGAGAAAAGTAAACGTATGCTTTCATACATTTGTGACGACATCGTCACACCATAGTCATGACTACTAACGAATCACGCGTATATAAAAAAAAAATAATAATAATAATAAAAATAAAAAACCTAAGAAGAAACTCAAGCAAACAGTCTGTATTTACTGTACGAATAAAATTGAATATTTTCAAATTGAATAAAGACGGGCAGTTGGCCGTTGACTGAATAGCGACTGAAATCTCTAAGATTTATTTCAGATTGAAATCGACATATTTGCTATACATGATTCGTGAAAGGAATATTCAAATGTTTAATACAACTCAATACGTTCTTTGTTGAATAAAACATCTTAGTAAGACACAAATAACGTTGAATATATGCTGTCAATGCTGATTATTATGAACTCAATAGGAAATTTGGATTCCAATAATTTCATTGTCATAGCAATCATAACATCTTATTTTTATTTAGTATCAACAAACAATTGTTTTTATTATTGTCTTAAATTTTAAAAATGATTTAATTTCTTGAAAAAAAAAAAATAGAAATTGACAAAAAAGTCAAAACTACATGTATATTATTTCATCATAATATATAATATAAATAACTTATTAAAATAAAGTTCAACAATCTAATAATTTTTCTTTCTATTAGAAACTAAAGATAAAATTTAGTCTATTACAGACAGCTATAATCAATAAAAGACTTTTTCATAGTTTAAAGAACTCTAAAAATAAATCATTTTCAATTAAGTTATGATGTTGAAGTTGGACTTATATATTGTATAAACACAATTCTATGTTTCTTGACTATCTAACCCGAAATTTTATAAAACTATTACAAGATGCGTGAAGAAAAATGTTTTTTTTTATATTTAGGCACGTTTACACACTTAGATTTACCATACAATTTCTAAACCACTTGTTACAGTTCTATCATACTTGGTTAAGTTCATTTTATATTTTACTGTAGTCATTGTAAAAAAATCACGTTTGTGTTGCAACGTTTATTTTTTCCATATAGAATTAATATTGAATAATATTTACGGATTTTTAAAAAAATCCAACATTATTTTATATTTTCATTCTATTAACTTTCTTAAAATGGTGTAATATATCCGATGAATTTATTTCCTTAGCAGAGTTTCATTTAGAAGTTCATCAAGACCGTCATTATTTGATTGTCAGCTAAGAAGTTCCTTACTGTTAGACATGACTGCATGAGACAACCAACTCTTCCGTAGAAAATTAATTAATATACTATGCACAATTATTAAGAACTCATCGTGAAATAGCGAAACAAAGTTTCGTTTTAAACTTTGATAGTAATTAAAATTATTTAACGCAATGCAGCAAAAGTGCAGAGTGACAATCGACGGCGTTTTACTTGTAAATAAGTAATATAACTTAACACTTAAAACAGAGTTTTTTTTTTTGTAGCAATTATACGAATGACATTTTTATTAAGCTAAGTAAAAATCATTTGTTATAAGTCTTTTGGTAAATACTATGTTAAATATACAGTAAATTTAACATAATTACCTTTAATTTGTTTTTAAACTATTCGCTAGTAAAATTCAAGTTAACTCACACCCTCGTAAAGAACGATTTTTATTGCTAATTAAAATAAAAGTTTTGAAAACTAAAAGGTTAAATATTTCAGGTAGGTGTAAATTCTAAATTCTCTCGAAAATAACGCAGTAATACTTTGTTTTTTTTTTAAATGTCTAGATACTATTTTTTAATATAATAATTTGTTGTATTGTGTTATAGTTGGATTTTAATAGTTTGCTTGTTATAAAAATACTGAAGTGTTAAAAATAGTACTCGTGTAAATGTTTTATGCTTTACTCATTGGTATTCATATCGAAGTAAAATATATTACTCAGTTGTAAGAATTTTTTTAGAAATAAGTATAGATTAGATTAAGATAATTTTCTAAATCGAGAAAAGCATGTGGAGGCAAAACAAAATGTTTTTGAAGAAAAGTAAAATGTTTACTTACATCAAATGCACCTTTTATGAGTGGCCCCGCCTGGCCAATGTACAACGTGGATGCTGAATCAAATAGAAGTTCGGTTGGATCTCTAATTACTGAAACGTTCTGCGGAGTTATGCATCTACCATTTAGTTCAACATTTTCTTTTGTCACTTTTAAGCTAATCCGTACATATTTCGTAATTTTCCAAGGGACTGAAAATGTAGCCAAAACGTTGGAAGAAGAAGGATATTTAGTTACATCAGTATAAAGAAAACTTATATTTAATGATTCTGAAGATGTTGGTTTGACCTGAACTCCAAGTTGTACGACCTATAAAATTAATAAAAATACCTTTAAATCTTCTAACACATAAAATGTATAATATTATAAGATAATATATTATTATTTGTGCATATATAAATGTGTACAATTTTACTATGATAGATTATAGAATTTACATCAAAACAAACCCAATGAATACTACAGAGCGTCATTTCAGTATTTTTTTTTGGTATGCAAGATTTTAAGTAGGCCATTTTAAAATTTCATCAGACTATATAAAAATAGATATACCTACTTAAGTAAATCATTCTTCTTTTAATTTTTCCAAAGATTATGAATCACAACACAAATATTAATCATAAATTATAGTAATACTTACTATTTTAATATTATATAATATAACTTAGCGTTGGGCCCGTAGCAATCGTTGAATTTTATATTTATCAGTTTATTACCGTTATCAATTATTGAGTTAAATGCGCGGGAAAAGTCATGATAAAAACAATTACGAACTTCAATATCAATATCTTGCGTCCGGTACGAATATCAATGGTACAGTAGATTTTTATTTCTTACTCCATTAATTAATAACAGAATATTTATTTATTGGCACATGCAACCATGATAATACAATGTTTTTGAAATTTGAATTAATGTATAAAAAATTTGTGTATAATTTTTGCAGGCCAATTAGGACTGTTTTTAAAGTAAAGGTATAATCGCACACACTTACCCCTCCCCCACATTACACCACTAGTATAATATATAAGATTTAAAATCAATAAATTAGGTACTAGATAAAAAAATTAATGTAATTAATTAAACGTTAATTTTAATGATATATATTGCGGAAACATACAGCAATGGACTTTCACCTTATAAATGATAATTTCTACAAACTTATTTTATAAAGATTGATCCAGTGTTAATAAGGTGATAAAACAAGATTCGAGTTTTTATTTTAATAACTTTTGAATAAAAATAAATAAATTTTTTAAATATGAATTATAAATTGAAAAATTATTCCTATAAGTAATTTTTAAGTTTTACTTAAGAAAGTCTACTAAATAATTATTTGTAAAAAAATGATAAAGAGGAACTTTTGTGTACGTTTTTTTTATTATGAGGATTAATGGAAATTTTTCAAAACTATAGCGTTGATAGCTTCAATTAGTTACGTATCATGATCTTTTGACTTATCATTGAACAAAATGGACCAACGAAATTTTTTTCTGAAATCCGTCATGGGTAATTATAGTTCTATTTTATTTACATTATTTTTTTATAATAAAATAATAAATGTTGTTTTTTAATATGTTATTAGAGTAAAATTGACTAGTAAAAGTTTCAAAAAGAGTTTCAAAACTTAAGCAAGAAAAGTTTATTCGCCACAGTGCTTTAAAATTATACATCATAAAAACTCATTTTCTCTTTAGTTGTCACATTTTATAAAAATTAAGAGTGATAATATGGGTACCCTACATATTAACTTGACAAGGATTTTTAATGAAATCTTAATTTCATACAAGATTTATTATTTTTCTTGAAAAAAATTGTTATGAAATACTTACATTTTCCATTGGGTTTACCACGGCAAATAAAAACCCACCATTAATTGAATTTAATTTAAAATTTGCAACTATTGCGAATTCTGGATATAATTTTTCAGGTAAAAACAACCGATAAGGAGATTTGATGTCCGATCCGGGTTTGATACCAAATGCTGGAAAACCATCCTCTCCGTTATCAAAAAATAATTGTGGGTCTTCAAATGGTACTTTGATAGCATGTTGGAGATCATGTTCATCTGAAAATCGTAATTTATTTATGTATTTAGTGTTTTGAACATTGTGTTTGAATTTTTCAGCTGTTTAATAAAATTATAAAAGTTGATATTGAGCTTTTAGTAGTTTAGCTGGTTCGTTAGATGCAATGTGGTTGTTATATACTTGATACAAAGGGAAGACAAAGTACTCTGCTTTTACATTGCAAGTGACCTGAAAAAGCTATTTGCATACTGTCTTATATAGATCACATATACATGTATGCACGCACAAGATTTCTAATGTCTATTGTATTTAATTATTATGTTAAAACCGTATACTCTTGTTTAAACAATTTCCTGCGAAATAAAACTTTGAAAAAGCTTCAAGAGTAAAAACGTTTTACCAGTGGCCTATTTCCGGCTTTTTTCATTCAACTTATACTATCATCTGAAAAACTATAAGTCAGGAAATTGTCTTTTTATCGATTATCACCAAAAACTGTCATGGATTTGTCGTATAAAAATTTTTTTTTTAATATTTTTTTACTATTAATGAAACATTTTCAACGTTAGTCAATTAAAAAATGTTCACTGCTATAATCAATACCAAAATGTATTAAATATTATTTCAATTGACTTAAAACCTTTTTAATTATTTTTTTTATGATTTATATTTTGTATATTACAAGCAATTTAATCTAAAACAAAAATATCAGACATTTAGCAAGTGGTGTTCTATCAATCGCATTTATTTCAGCATAATAACAATCTCATTAAGAATAAACGTAAGAAAATTTCAATGTTTGTTTATTTGAGAAATGATAATACGCTGGGTTTTAGTTGTTAGAATTTTTTATTAATAAATTGATCTAAAAATTTCAATATTTTAACGTTAATTTGATTAAGTTATTAAAATTTTCATTTTAGTTCTATCAAAATTTGTATGTTTCGTACAGACATTCAATTATGTCTTAGACACTGGCCATTTTATAAGATAACACCTACATTCATAACAAATTGTTCAATCAAATTACACGGGCTTAAACCTTACAATTACTACATAGTGCCCACGTAGAAAGAGTATTAATGGATTTTCACATATTTCCTATAGACTCTTATTAAAATACTTAGTCCTTGACTAGTGAACTATTAATAATTAATTATTAATTAAGCATACGATTCTTAAAAATATTTATTTTATTGATTTTCTGCGTCAATTATTTTCAAATCATTATACTAATTAAACTAATTGGTAATATAAATACTAATAATATGAAATAAAACGTTCGATAATATATTAATTATTATTACCATTATTTAATTGAATAAAATTGGTATCATTACGAAAAGCTGAAAACGAGATTTAATGCAAAAACAATTTGTTGTAAATGGTTTTTAAAGAAAATAGAACTTTTCCATGAACGCCTACATGCTAATGGCAACATAATTATTTAATTTCACATTATTTCCAATACTGCATGATCTATTTTTATCAACTCTATTTGTTTATTTAACTTTAATAATTTTTTCTTCATTAAATTAATAGTTATATAATAGTTAATTGACAAAAAAAGTAGAGTTTAAATTATTTTTCTTTTCTTTAATATTCTCTCGTCAATAATAAAATGGCAAATAACGAAAATACATTAAGTTGTACATTACTTAGTAAATGTTTTAACTAATATTTATGAACAATCATTTGAGTTATTTAACGTACAGAGTTAATCGAAAATGTACAAAGGTACTGTATTTTATTTATTTTGTCCCATAATCATTATGAAATCAGCCAAATAATTTATACTATTTGATAATCGTATCTCTAACAGATAAAGTCTAGCTTGTATTTAAAATTTATAGTGGTATGTATCATTTGCTGGTTATTTTTTTAACTAGGTCGTTACATTTAACATGTATAATATACCGTTAGGTCTAACCGGGAAAAAAAATTTCCAAAGAGACGTTTTTAATCTCTAACTACACCCTATTATTCAGTTGATCAACGTTAGGAAAAACTGAGTTTTAATGGCGTCTCGCCGGAAATGAGTCGGCTTTATATTAGCTGCAACTTATATTAGCGGAACCGTTTTAACACTGTAAATAAATAGGAAACGAGAGACCAGACCGATTTATTTATGGGATTATCAATGTTTGCCACGACACCAATCTGTTGATGCCGGTGGTCATCAATTTTCCAAAGTAGAAAAAAAAAAAAGAGGTCGTGTGTGAAAACGCCTGTCTGTATATGTGCTGGTTCATTTGTTCCGTCGTAAATCTGTGAAGCCAACCGATTTTTCTAGTGGTTTCCATTGGACTCGAGCGAGACGCAGAGGCGCAACAGGGAAAATAATTAAATTCCGCACAAAAGGGTCGCACGAGGCGGACACGGAAGAACGGGGTCGTGGGATGCGTCGGCCGAAGACGCAATTTATCAAACGATATTTTTCGGTTATCTCTGAGTTACCGAGAACACTTAAAAAGGAAGTCATGAAAGTAATAGTGTAAAGTAACAAAACTTTAGTATTCGTAAGGTACAGACGTTGGCATAATAAAACAGGGCATTAGTGGATAACGACGGCACAGATCTACAGAATGCACTCGCCATCTACCCAACCGGAGGAGTGTAACGCGGTCTGTGTGGCGGTTGTTTCTGCACAACTGTTACATACGACCGCACACGTGTAGTCAGCAGACAAACTGTGATGGCTGTCACGTGTGTGAACGTTCCAAGAGATGGCGGTGTAGTATACCATGTATAACATGTATGTAATTCGCGAATGTCATGGTTTTCTTTTTTTTTATCAAGCTAATAACATTTAAAACCTTTTTATGTTTGTTTTGGAACAGCGTATACTATGATTAAAAAATTCTTGGGTTTTATTCAAAGGCGAGTTCTCACGAAATGTTTTGTATTGTGATAGGTTTGACGTTTTTTAAAACAATTTAATGGGGCAAAAATAACTCATTCGCTAACAGATTCTGCATTTGAAGATTACCTTTTGACCACCATGATATTTGACCGTAGTTATTCCAACATTTCATTTATATTAATTATCTACATTTAAAGCAAATCACAGAGAACAGATTATCCTATAAAATAAAATTAATCTCTATCATTAACTAATTTTTTCTTCATTCGCTACACTGTGAATCCACATAAAGTAATTTTGTTGATTAAAAAAATCAATCATTGAACATGTTATCGTTTATTTCAAAGAACTATTCAACTAAAGTTTAATTAAAATGTATTATTGGATGATGATTTTACCAATACACTTCTAAATTATAATAACTGCGTTTGTTCTTTATACTTTTGAGTAATCATTACCAAAGTACACGAAATATTAGGTTAATAAAACTAAACTAATTGTTTTTATAACTAAGAAGAGTAACACTTATTTATATTACGTTATAACACTTATTACCGTGTAATATCTCAAANAGAGTAACACTTATTTATATTACGTTATAACACATATTACCGTGTAATATCTCAAATATTTGCATTTATATTCTGTAGATTTAAATTTATTTCAAATGCTATTTCAAAAACCAAGTGCTAGTCCAGAAGTATAATATGGCGATCACTAGTAGTATCATGCTTGACTAAAAGAAAAGAATATATGATACTTTAAATGTCATCGAACATTTAAAAATGGGTTATTGGTTCTATAAGCTTCTATCACTATAATAGATTTTACAACTAAATTATTGACAATGAAAACAAATATTCATGTCTATAATAAAAATGCACTTTGTCAAATATTAGCTTATAGTTAATATCCATTAATGTTATGCCATTCTAGTTAAAAATACTGAATACAATGCAGATTTTTTATTGTTAACATTAATTTTGTGATTGATTATCAGTTTATTCTTGGAAAAAAATAAAATAAAATTGTAAAAACGTGTATTTTTGTCGTAAATTCTTATTAGATATCTGTTATTTTTTCTACCTAACATTGAAGTATTAAAAATCTAACATTCAGAATCTAATAATATATAAATAGAAATATGACTGTAATGTTCATTATTATCATTTGAAACAAAACAAAAAATGTCATAGATCTTATTTCACAATACATGTATCTTTTGTCTGCATTTGAAGCGCACGCAGTAAGTACGTCCTTATTGATTTTTAAATAAAAGCCATTTATTTCACAAAAAAGGGTCCAGAACAAAGGTAGTTATTATGAGTTAAAACATAACAGTTTTGTTCCTTTTGAAGAATAAAAAAGTATCCGATTACAAGATCTAAGAAATTAACATGTTTCTAAACTTGAGAAAAATACATGGACCGTGTTTCATTAAGTTATAGTAGAGTGATGACTAGTCATATTTCTTGTAATGATTAAGACAATATTTAGTTTTTTCAGTTAGTTTCTAGAAAATAACGCTGTAATAATTTAATTTAAGCAAAAAATAAAGATTTTTCATTATGAAAATAACTCTTTTGTAGGAAACTATTATTCGTTGTAAAAAATACACAATTGTTTATTTCCTTTGCTCATTACCGATTACCAGTACGTTTTAATTACATAAATACTAATAGGAATTTTTTATAGTAATAATACAGTACAAGATTTTTTTATTATTTTTTAACCCAAAACCAAATTACTTTATTGATAATTTTATTTCACGTCGAGTTCGATGAGAGCTTTTATTATACTTAGAAAAACAATTAAAATAATATTTAATTACAAAAATATAATCATAATAATTTTTTTATTTTAATATTGAATTATTACATTTTTAATAATAATTAAAAAATATTTTATAATTGTTATTTATTTTTTTTTTATGAACATTAATTAAACCATGACAATTTTTTTATATCTATTTACACATTGTATATTTAGCAGAAAAACAGCTTCGCATCCAAACTAAAAAGATATGTCAAATTACAAGTAAGGTGGTTATAGAATTTTCTTTGCTTTGACCATTTTGATTGAAAATCTTGAAAAACTTCTATTCTATTTTTAATTATTTAAGTAAAAAAAAAAATCTAACAAATCTATACAATTCTTGTAGTTTACAGAACTGCATCAATATTGCATATCTAAAACGCCGTGAGGATATTTCTTCATTTATTATTTAAAAGACATTTTAGTAATTCTTCTATAATACATAAAACATATTTGATGAATTGTATAATAGGTAATACACTGTTGCTTTAATTACAAAAAATTCAAAAAGTTTAAAAAATTGTTTGAACCTTTATTACGTTTTTTACAGCTGCTGCAATGTCTCTGAATCGTTATACTTAACAAAGATGTAAAAATTTACAGTTTAATTCCTTAACAAGGCCTTACGAAATATCTTTAAAAATATTAGAGCTAATCAATGTTGTATAATAATAATGGATCTTTGTTGAGCTCCTTCAGCTGAAAAATTAATTTGTTTAAATTTGACATAAGACGCGTGTATTTTTTACTCCAAATTTTTGATCGAAATTTTTTTTAAAAATAGTCTTTAATTTATATAGTTAATGTTATACAATTCTCAAACTAGCTAATTAGTTATGATATTACAACTATTTTGAGAGAGTTATATGAGTTATATTATCCCCTTATGGATTCGCTTATCTTACTATCATATTTTTCAAACGTTCATATAGTCTTACCAGACTAATTATTTCAAAAATTATCTAAGCTTTTCCTCTAAATGGAAAAATAAGATATTAAATTGAAAATTATTTTGTTCTATATTATGTTATGGATAATTATTAAAATAGGTTTTATATTCTCAGTGGCGTATTCAAAAGAAGCTAGAAGGATTAATCCGTTCTTTTAGCTGTGTTAAACCTACATTTTAGGCAAAAATTCATTACACTTTTTTTTTGGTACAGTTTTCCTCAATTGAAAACTCTTCGGTACTTTATAAGCCGATGATAAAAAAAATAATATAATTAAAAAAAGATGTTCTTATATTTTAAATTAAAACTAAGACATTGCAATGTAAAAATTCTTTAAAAAAATAAACATATCCAATACGTCTAAGAAATGCGAATAAAAATAAAACATTGAATGGATTACTTTGTTGTTTTTTTTTTTAACTTTTATACTAATTAATAAATATCTTAAATTTACCTGAAAAGGATTTGCTATCTTGAAATCGTTGACCAACAGCCAACCTATACAGTAATGTAGTCCATAGTAAAATCGTTAGCCAACTGAAAGTACAAAAATAAGAATTAATTAATAAAAAATAATTTTGAAGAATAAAATATTGAATAAAGTTTTAAAACTATTTTAATAAAAACGTAAGAATAGCTTTTAATGAAATTTATTTCTAGTTGAATAATTTAATTAATTTAAAATATTCACATTTTTAATTTATTAATAGTTACTTTGTTGTTATATTGTTATTATGTTATTAGTAACTTTTATAAGATAATTGACATTTACTGTAATATTTTATCGGTTTTTTGACACTAGTTTAGAATTATTAGAAATAAGTGACATTTTTCTTAAACTCGTGTACGAATTTAACTTACAATGAAATATATAATGTCCCAACAGAAGTTTGAATCTTTAATAATTTTTGATTTAGATATATTCTTTTTTAGATAATTTTTTTATCAATTAGATTTGAGATACCCTTCATGTACATCTGGCCAACATCACAGAAAATCATCTAATTAAAAAAAATACTTGTCGCTAACAACTTTCTAAGTTATTAATATTTCCAGATGAAGATTAGATATGAGAAGCGGTACTCATCTCGTCTATACATAAAAATAGTAATTTCTTCTAAAATGATGGGGTCAAAAGTTGTTATTCATTCATAACCAGTAATTTTCTAAACTTTTCTATAAATTATATTCCAATATTAAAGTTAGTTAAATTTATATTTCCATTTAAAAAAATGAAGTTTATACAGATTTTATGGAACGAGATTTTATTTTTAATTTATAGCATTTATAATTCTATAATTATTCGAAAAGAAAAACTAGTAAAACTCTTTACATTTTTGAAGATATTGTGTGATACATCAATCATCATGTATAAATTTTGGTTTAAAAATAAAAAGTTTAAATTAAGTAACTGTAGGTTTATCCTTTGTTTATTAAATTTTTTTTTATAGATATCAATATATTATATTTACTAGTTCGTGTATTAAAAAATGATTTTTTTGAAAATCATGAAAACATGATTTTTGTTTTGTAAGTAATTAAGTAATTGACAATAAAAGATATAACATGTATTTATTTAATGTCAGAGAAAAAGATTATACCAAAAATCAATATATGGCACTGAAAGGTTCATTTTTATGACTTGATTTTTATGAGTATTTGTTTTTTTATGCGTCTTTTCTTTAAACTTTCGATTTACCAGTACCACAATGTTATCATGTTTTTTCTTAATCCTAACCCGCTGGGATTATAAAATGTTGTAGACATACTAATCCATTAGCTGTTCAAGTTTTTGGTGATTATCCAATTTTTCATCAATAAATTATAGATACAATCATTTTAAATAAGTCTTGAAAATAAATATGTTTTTTATTAGCCTTTAAGACTATGAAATTTTATCACCTAGAGTCATCGCCATCTCTTACAAGGTTTCTAAATCATTTTTGACTTTTGAATAGGTAATATAACCGTTTCCCGGAGGTAGATATTGTACTTTCTTTTTACTAAACTAATCTCTTTTCAATATGCTGGAGCGGGCAGCATCAAAGAATCTTACAGATGTTTACATATAACAAGGCAAATAAAATATTCTTATTCATATTACTATACTAGATCAATAATTTAAAAAAAAATGATGACATGATATTGAAATAATTGTTGTGAATTTTTCTTTAAAAAATACAATCAATTGGTTTTTAATTAAATTTTATTTAGGGTGTTCAGTAAGTAAGGAAAAGGGTTTCTATTGTTCTCCTTGTTTGTAACAATCGACCTGTTTTTTTACTTTTTGAACATTCTGTATACAATGTATTCTATACATCAATAATTTTGTGTAATATATGAACGTAAATAATGAAATGCTTGCAAAACATAATGAAATTCTTCAAAAAATTGCTACAGTTCGAACAAAATATTCTACGAATTGTTTTTATTGCAATATTCTATTTCAGAAACAGTTTTAAAATAACTTTTGAACTTATCATTAATTATTAATATAAATTGTTTGATTTAAGACTTTCAATTATAATAGAAAGCTCAACGTTTCAATGAACATAACCATCAAATATTTTTGTTTTAAGAGCATATTTTAGCAATACAATACTTTAATAATATATTAAACTCTAAAAACTTTTATTTGTTCATTTCAGGGTTATTTTTAAATACCTTCCTAATAGTCGTTTCACTGAGAATATTTAAAACACATAAAATTTCATGGAACATTATTTATTATTGTTAACTTTGAAATTATTATACATTATATTTGAATCACAATAGGTCATCGGCGAATTATCTTCTTTTAATAAGAAACTTTAGAGGTAATCTTTTTAATAGTTATTGGTGCGAGTTAAAGAAAATTGCTGCATGTATTAAACTATAACTATGAACGCGCTAGTCTTAACGACTTCAAAAACTGTTAATATAAAAACAAATGAACTGTAAAAAAATACTCGGAATAGCTACGTAATAAGTAACAATAATAAAAATAACTAAAAACTTCATTTTAATTTCACCGACTCAATAGCAATAATAAACCTTCAATAATAACAACTCTCATTGTTTTCATATTCACTTAAGAATCCATCTCTTAAGGGTATTCGTTTTACCTGTAAACTTTAACACAGTTTGAATGAAACTTCTTTTCAATAGTACTATTTACATTAAAAGAAAAGCTGAATAATGTTGTCGTAAACAATTCTGAAAATACTTTTTAGGTAAAAATTTAGGTGGTTCTGTTTACGTTCAGTTAAGAAATTATTTAATTTCTGTTTAGCCATTGAGATCTGTAATTTTATATAAAAAAAAAGACATAAACTTATAATCCAATTTACATAAAAATAATTTTGTTAAAAGTGTATAAGAATTATCTACCACCTTCAATCAAATTTATAAAACTATGTTGTATTGATTACCTAAATTTGTTACTTTATAATTATTAAAGATATTATTAAAAATATTTTGAAATACAATTTCCGATGTTCTAATCAAAGTTATAATTCTAAATTGAATATAGTAAAATAATTTGAGAAAAAAGAAAAAATTATTATAATTTTAAAATTTAATTATGCCGTCTAAATAGAAATTGACACATTTTCAGTCTACATTCATCAACAATTATTTTAGTGTTAAAATTATTATTGTAAACAAATTTACACATTTATAAAAAAAATATTTTATTATAATTAATAATCAAAATCAAACGATGACATAAATGTTCGTGAATTCAACCTCATTAAATTTTGTCATTTATTCTTATTAAGAAGACTTACAGTTAAGTATAAATTACAATAGTTAGACAGTAATTTTTTTATGTAAGTACTTCATTTTTGTCTGCTACGTGATAAAAAGGCCATATTTTTATTAATAAGCACTTCGTGTATAATTAATGTACTAATGATACAGAATTTTAAGAGGATGTAGTAATTGTTTCAGTAAAAGTTCACCTCAAAGCTCTAATAATAAACTAGAAATAATAGGACAGATAAAGTAATGACAGTTCGGTATTTTTGTTACTAAATACACCATCAATTTTTTTCTAATAGAGTTTTGATCTAAAATAACTCGGACAAGAACTTCCGGAAATTGCTGTTTGTTACTTGCCAAATAATTTTTTTTTTTTATTATTCCCTCTAGCTCAGATTAGTTTATTATTAGCTTTATATTGTGATCTTTCACATATGCATTAGTATTTCAATAATCCTATTATGCGCCCAATTGAGTCGCCTAAGGACCATTTGATGCTTTGTAGATATTAGATTATGATCCTTCTACGATTATTATGGCACACAAAGTCAAACATTCATGTGTATTGTTTTTATTTTTTAAAAAAAATCATACATTTTTAAACTATTGAACATACATAAAAATTTACAAAAAAAGTAATGGTACATTATAAATTAGTATTTGTCTGTAAATTTCCTTCATAAATTACTCTAATATTTGTCATATAATATAACATTCTATTATTCTTTTAATTTCAATTATGTGTACTTAATTAAAAAATGATGTAATTAATGTCAATACGTTAGAAGCCTATTTGGAAATCTTGTTTTAATAAATAAATCAATGAATATATGTTACTCAAATTTCTATCTGTTGAAGTTAAATGGATCAAAATTAGGGTTATTAAAAGACATGCATTTTTTAATCCGATTAAAACATATGTTAACAGTTTAAAAAGTCTCATAAATAACCACAATCTAAGAATAATATTTATTCAGTGATTCTTCGTAATTAATTTAATAAATCTCTAAATGCATATAAATCTTAAAACACTTAAAAATACTGTTATTAATAGAAAATTTCAAGTAGATAATAATATTCATATTTTTTATGAAATCATATATTGCTATATGAACGAATTTTGATGATACAACTTAAGCGATCAACATTTCTGTTTTAAATCACTTAGTCATAATTTTACAGACAGTATTTTTAAACATACTTTACGTCAGAAATAAACCAAAAAACTAAATTATATATTAACTCGTATAAAATTACGTAAACAACGCTACAAAAACATTTAATACATTTGTTATCAATTCTAAATCTCTTGAAGTAATTTTTATAAATAAAAAAACATTTGTTTATTTATAAATTTATGTATTCTATTTATAAAAATAATAATTTATATAAATAGAATAATTAAAAATTACAGAAATATTTCTTAGAAACTTGCGGTTATTACCTATTATAGTTTTGTCGAAAATCTGAATGTCACATATAGAATATCAAATACATACATTAAAAAAATGCTATCAGTAACACCCAATACATACTATTTATTGATAATTTACAGACAATTATACTAATTGAAATGAAATATCAGGCTCTTTACAGTCTTATGAATTGTCATTTATACATTTTCTATAATATTCCATAGTTTTACTTCGCTGACAACAGTTATAAATTTCTTGAAAAATAAAATAAATTCTTTTTACGTGATGTAATCCCACGTTAAGTGTGATGAAGAATAGTGATAGTTTTATTATCAACACCTCATCTCAAGATGGCTTTCTCTTTATGCGGTTTAAAAGCCA